TTTTCTGATTTGATTATGCAGGGCCAATCCAGCGAGCCGAGCTGATTTGCATTTTGTTGTTTGTTACGAAAATTTGCATTCAATATTTTTATAATGCCAGTTGAATTACAAAATCTTCATTCATATTTATCAGGAGTGATGAATAACTTTAAGTCAACAGTTGCCAAGAGACACTGTGAGACTATAAATTATAAGACACTAGGTACTAACCGTTACTTCCTCTGCTTTTTTTTGAGATCTTCATTTGATATAATGGCAACTAAATGTATTTTTTTTAATGGATGATAATGGAATGGCGTATTATCTGCGTTAACGGTTTACACTGGCGAGGCTCCAATGGAGGATGATAAGATGAACAAGAAGTCAGGTCAGTTAGCGCATCGTGATAAATTTACCAGGAATTTATCACGATGGTTTCCAAGGCGAAGGAAAAGGTTTCAAAACCTTTGGTGAGATTTGGCAGTGAAATTACAGGATTAGAGGCATATAGCATATATATAGTAGGTCTTCATGAAAAGCAAGTCACTAGTGTCACAAGATGACATGATGTCCATAGTGCTGTTCATGTTAAATACGCGACGCTTACCACTTACAATCAGATTAGCCGTTAGCTTATTTGGCATTCCAAGTATCTAAGAAAATGCTCCACAGCACTTCATTGTTCCAATGAAAACATGCAATAAAAATTAATTAAACCATAAACAAGCGATAAAGTTTCAGATACTATGAAACAAGAGTGATCCATTGAGGAATGCGGTAGTAAACGCTCACCTACGCACATCATAGCTTTAATTAAATCGCGGATGATTCGTTTAAACCGAGGGGAATTTGGGCCATTTCTTGCGTGCTGTCAAAACAAATAATCATTGAGGGCTCTAACCGAAATAGGGCTCCCGCTCTCATCGATTGTAACTAATTAGAAATAAGATCGTGTCCATGTTATAATGGTTTAGCCTAATTGTGTACCAATAAAAAAAAAGGAATTACTCTATATAATTTATGTTTAGTCTGTAGATGTGTTTTGTCTATGTTGCCTATTATGTATGTCCATACGATGTAGTGTTTTTAATGTTCAGTAACCTAAAAGTGTTTTAATATCTGCCCTCTAACAGTCGATACTAACATTACAATAAAAAAGATTAAATATTTCATGTTTGTTTGTAATGGGTAAATTAAAAAAAAACGGTGTTTTTGAATTTTTTTCTTATCCAGTCCAATAGATTAACATTTTCAGCGATAAACATAGTATATAATTCAAATAGGTAGTATCTAAATATAATATGCTTTAAATGAACAATCAGTTATCTTACTATTTTTCTACATTATTCACATAAAATCTGAACCTTGGTAATTTTTTTTTAAAGAAAGTTGAGTTTCCAGCACACTCTTCTCAGTTGAATTTACATTACGTATGAAGTGGTAGAGTTTAAAAAACTATATTCAAAAGAACTTATTACGTATATTTCTGTTCTATTGGTGTCTGTCATAATTGTATATATTATAATATAATAATTCATCAAGCACGGAATGTATTTTCTGATTACTTACTTGTACATATATTCTATATATAGTATACATCAATATATACATCTTTACATAGTATAAAATTAAGTCGCATCCGCGGTCTGTTCGCTTAGATCTTAACAACGGATTTTAATGCAGTTTTTAATAATAGATAAAGTGATTCTAGGGAAAGGTTTTATGTACAATACATGTACATTCATATAGGCGAAGAATGACACTTTATTAGGTGGGCCGTCAGCTTGTTTCCCATTTTAGTTATAACTTATAATATATAAAAAAACACTACTAAACTTTTATCTAATATCAGTTTGTAATTGATTCTATTCCAATATCACAGATAAGAGGATATTACATCAATACCAAGAATCCGAAAGTTTAGCTTGTATTCTGACATGCCATCTGATAAGTCAATTATCTAAATACTATTGATTTATATCACAATTCATGGAAAAACTACATTTATTAAACCTTGTTAACTACTGAATTTATTCTTTTCTTTCAACCTATTTTCTTCATTCGTAAGAAAGTGACAGAACAATGTAACAATTAAAATAGGTTTGTGGGTTTTACTTCATACGACTAAAGGATAGTGTATTAGTGAACCAAACACTAGTCAAAACAAAACTTGTCCGTTGGTACACAGTTTGCAGATAGACACAAAAAGCAAAGTGAAAATGTAACACGTGCCGCAGAAAACAGTTGCTAAATTACTCGCAAGTAGGCCGAAATGTTTGTTGGTCGGCACCCACGCATCCATTCTCTACTGACCCTTGAAAACCCATTGACCTGCCTTCACCACGCCCTTTATTGTATGCCGAGTGTGGGTGCTCGCGGGGTGCGGCGGCTCATGGCAAATTGGCCGTCGCTGTACGCTCGTAGATGAGACTAGAACCCCCGTCGCTCTCTCATTATGGACATTGTGTTCGGAGGTACTGTTTTTGATCGTACCGGCGCCATTTTGCCAGACAGAAACATGTCTGCAACTAATAAGATCCAGAAATTTGGGCCGACGTAATAGAAACAATTGTTTTTTTTATGTAATTGAATGGAAAATAAGTTGGTCCACCTGGTGGGAACTGGTAATCTACATGTAGATGTGACGAACTGCACTCACTATGGACATCACAAATTGTGAGCTTTGGAGTGCACTTATATTGCCATTCCTGTAGAGTAAGGTGTCTCGCAGAGGCAGAGGTTTCTAAATAAAGAATGTGTAATGTTTTGTAATGTATCACGAATTCTTGGCAAGTCTATCTGCCATTGTTTTGGAGTCACCTCCCTCAGTACCACTATAAGTGTAAATATACATATATGATATGACTAATTTTGAAGAAATATCTTTTCGTCGGCCTCGGTGGTCTAGCGATTTAGCACACGTCTTACTTTCGATGATCGCAGGTTTGATTTCACATTAAACATTTGTATTCATGAGTATTACTTTTTGTAACTGTCTGAGTGTTTTCTATTTATATGAAGTACCCATAATACAAGCTCTGTTTATCTTAGGACTAAATAGCACTGCGTGAGTTGTCAAGAAAAACAAGCTTATACGAAATTAACACGATATTGAATAAATAAATCGAACTTATTGGTGTCAAACGGAGTTGTTAAAAATAATGAACCTTCGTCTAGTATACGCTATGTCCGTAGTATATAAAATGTTTCTTACGAAGAAGTATTTTCACAAATACGTGTGGGGCAGGGTCTCTCGGCCGTTGGGGGGTCAGTTGGCCGGGCGAGGCTGGCGTCTGGGGGTCGTCTGTGGCCCGGCCGCGACCTACATCCCTGAACACCCCGGGGGTGAGGTCGCTATGACGTGCGTTGTCTGCCCACCCTTACCCACCTTACAGAAGATAAATGTTTTGCAGTATAGGTGCAGAATAACGTTATGTGCATAGTTCACATAAAATGTGTAGAATTGTAGAATTTCATTATTGTTTTTCTTAGTAATTATTTTTTCGTCTACTAACTAGAGGTATCACCCGCGTAAAATTTATAGCCTTTGTGTTACTCTGATGTATAAGTTCCATCAAAATCCGTTCAGTAGTTTTTGCTAAAAAGTAACAAACATCCATCCGTACTCACAAACTTTCGCGTTTATAATATTAGTAGGATACTGAAAATTATGAAGAGTAAACTTTGGATGTTTGGGGTAAACTCCGGCACTATAGATCCGATTTTGAAAATCCTTGTATTTGTCAAGAAATATTGTAGGTCATATATTATCACGTTATGATCAATAGGAGTGAAGATCCAATGAAAAATGTTGCAAAAATTGTGATATTGTCGCAGACGAATTTATCTGAGTCTGCTAGTTAGTTTTAGTTAATAGAAGAATTTATTATTAGTCCCTCCCCCTCGTCTTGGCAAAGGTGCAATTATTCTAGAGATTTCTAAATTTGGGAATTAAAGACTACTAACTCCATCCCTGACTCATTACTACTCTGATAAATAAGCTTTCTATAAATGAAAGAATTTATAAAATGTGTTAAATATTATAAATATTAAAATACAATAAAAAAAAGTATAATATTAGCTTAGACTATATACAGGACTATCAGGAGCATCGGAATTTCAGGCATTCTTTTTTTTTTGTGAATACTTACGTAAAAAAAGGAAACAACATGAAAAAATTTGAATTTCAAGAGTATAAGCAACCAAATACTACATATTTCTATTCATTTATTCCATAAACATTTCCTAACATAAGAAGAATAGAAAGTTATATAGAATAGAAGTTTAGTCGAAGTCTGTATGGCTCTACAAAATACGTGTATAATACAGTAGGATGCAATGTAAATACAGTTGCTGTATCTTGGTACAGATATTCAAGACAATAACTGTGGACGAATTTTGTGTCCAATTCGCGTCAATGTTACTAGCGAATACAATTTATGGAATATACTCTACTGAGTATATATATTTTATACTCAGTAGACTACTTTGTTCAGTATACTGACAAGAAAATACAGTACTTATTCTTTATTCATGACTACTATATAATTTTTCGACGACCTCGGTGGGTATATCCGTTTAGTATACTGCCTTATATTCCGATGGTTGCTGGTTTGAATCTCAAAGCAATACCAATATTCATGAGTTCTTGTGGATGGTAATGGAATGGTGCATCCGTCTGCGCTAACGGTTCACGCTGGCACCAGTAGAGGATGATAAGTTGAGCATGAGGCTGACCTCATGCACTGAACTGAGTCAGTTAGTCCATCATGATAAATTCACCATGAATTTATCACGATCATGGTTTCCAGGGAGAACTGCATGGAGGTCAACCTAACATGGTATATAGCTAGCAATGGGGTTATTAGTCCATTACTAATAATCCCCTTCCCCCCAATATTAATGAGTATATCTGTATGTATTGGTCTTGATATTTTTATATACATGATGTATGTCTAGCGTTGATAGTACATGCATAGTTGATATTAAAAGTTGTTAATTTATTCATTTCTCAATTCCAGGTGGTGGAGACGGTGGTATGCAAGCCAGAGCCGCCAGAATCACCTCCGAAGAAAGCGCGCAGCGAGGACTATAGCTATGCGGTGTACCTCGATAACTACTCGCAGCTTCAGCATCCAGCATTGTCCGCTTTCCGGCCGTGGGGCAAACGGGAGCCTGTACTGCAGAACCCCGAAAGAGTAGTCCGGGTGGCACACCTTACAAGATTCCAACGGGACATCCAGCCGAATGTTGCGCTGAAACCGCTCACGCCTCCAGTTGATGACGTCACCTCATCCACTTCCCCGCCTCCGAGCGAACCCGAGCTGACCGCTCGCTTGCTGGATGCAGAAGCAAGGCTTGCGCAACGAGCGCTGCAACTCGACAAACGGGAGGCAGAGATAGCTCTTCGTGAGGCCAGGCTCAACGAAAGAGAGGCAGAATTAGCGAGGCGCGAGCGCGAAAGTGAGAATACACCCGAGCGGAACCCCTCGCCACCCAAACAGGAGGAGACAGACCCGCCTTGTTGACCAACGCGTGTCATCGTGAGGGTGTTCAAGTGACTTACTTCGAACGCTTAGTGACAATGCGTCTCCAGAGTACAAAACGTTATGGTGCTGAACGTGGTACGTTAAAAAAGCAGATCGTTCGGAAACGCGCCGCCGTGTACATAGATTTGCAATATCTGAGATATTGTTGACGTTTAAATCCGTATCTGATGGGGATTCAACTGTTTATGGTACTTGTCGTGGATAATTGAACCTAATGTTCATGCAGTTTCAGAACGGTATTAGAAATGACGTCTATTCATATCTATTTATCACAGATTATCTTATATTGTCTGCATACAGCGTGCTTCTAAAAATAACTCCATTGCTAATGTTATAATTATTAAAACATATACTAAAGTGGGATATATCTACTATTGGAAAATAAGATAATATTTTATACAATTTTAACATCAGTTAAATAATGTATACAATCTTTAATAACAATAATAATTAAAATATGAACGCATGTAGTTTTTTGTTAACTCTACATTCAGAGTTGAGTATAGACAGACCTATTGTGCGAGCGAAAGGTGAATACATGACGTCATTTCTATTACCATCGGTGACCTGCGCAAATAGTTTATTAAAGGAGAAAATTACCAGCGAAACTTCGCTTTACATTGCATTTATTCAATTATATACGGTGCTAGCATATTATCTACATTCCCTGTTACAATGCATAGTATTCTATATATATATATATTACTTCGATAATAAAGGAATTTCATGTCTTGTAAGCAATAATAAAAAAAAAAGATCTCATTCCAAAACTTCTTCACTTCAAGTATATTTACATAGGAAATCCATTGAACCCTTATGATACCTACTAAAGTATACTGTAAGCGAAAGTACAGGGGCACTGTTTTTAAACGAAATATTTGCATTTACTATAAATATTTTTTGTATGAGAAATTTAATGAAATTAATTCTTATCTTAATATATATATGTGATACTATGCTTTGTACATATGCAATGCAGATGATATGCTAGCAGTATATATATATATCAGTTTTACCACTAAGCATACTGGTAGTAGTAGCAAGATGCAGACGCTGAATCGGTTGATGTAATTGTACATATAATCATATCAAGTACAGTTTTATGATAGCATTGTTTGTATTAGTATACAGGTTTCTCATTGTCTCCTCAACGTGTGCCATTCTATAGGTACCTCTGTTACCTTTTCATACAACCTCAGCTTTCAATAATAACAAAATACTCACAATTATTATAGTAAAATAGATATACAATTAAAACCATAAGCATAATTTATACAGGGTTATTTTAAGTTCTGTTCGCAGGTATTAACGTATTTCTTTTAAGTTTTAACTGTAATTTTTTTTGTTTCGCTTTTTTTTTAAGAATTATTAAGTACATCCATAGTTTTTTTATAACTAATAACTCTGTATAAAAACCTCAGCAATACCAAATAATAATAGTTTCGTACAACAGTACTAGTTCAATATACCCTATTCAATTATCGACACTTGACTTGGTAGAGGCACGTGGTCTAAATTTAATTTTTTACTAGCTGTATAATATGGGAGTTGTGATCATAGACAATTTCAAGGGAAAGTCGCCCTTAATAATTGGATATCTATATTTTTTGTGACGCACTTATTAAAACTTGTCTATGGGCAAAATGTTTTATGGAAACGTTATTGATACTGTGTGTGAGTCCAGGCCGTCAAATTAAAATTAAGGGGTTTATCCCGAATTCTACCTCATTGTATATAAAAAAAATATATTTGGCTAAAGTAATAATTGTTAAGTACCTAAGCTGATTTTAATTGTTTAGACATACTTCTTGATTTGGAACATGTACTTTGGAGCAATAATATTAATGTGAAATATGTCACTGCCTGCACTTTGTTATCAATCTGTTAATTTGTTATATTTGAGTGAACGTACGAGTAATTGCCATTACAAAACATTAGGGAAAGTAAAAAAGTTAAATTATAACATAAGAGTGGACCCTTGACATTCAAATGTAAAGGAATAATCACTCAATGTTGGATAATTTATGTTAAGTACATTTGTTAAAATTTTCACCCACTAAAAATACAATTTCTATTTTTTTTTTTAATTTTTAAAAACATCTAAGAATAAAGGTTCATTTTATATTATAGTTTGGTGATTGTCCAGCTATATTTTTTATAATTAATTCTCAATTTGAAAATAATATTGTAAACCATAACGCTATGCAACTGAATGTACATATGTATTTATATCAATATGGCGACAGAACAAGTGGAATGTAATACAGATATTATAAATGAAAATCGTTAACACAATTGTTCAAATAACCATCGCACAAGTGGCTAAAATTATCCTATACGAATAGGATCATTTTAGTTACTTGTGCATGTGAGTTGTTATTACAATTTTTTAAATCAAAGCTCTAGTTTAAAATCATAGATAATAAAAAATTTAAATGACCATTACAAATAATTGTAGCTAGAAAAAAGACGTGAAAAAAAAGTTAAACGTTCGTTCGTTGCTTTTTAGAAATATATGGCGACTATAATTTGTGAATGCAACTTAAAAGATTATGTCTAAAGTTTTAAAGAAAATAGTGAATTCATTTTCGTATAGGTAGCTTTAATTACTTGAAGAACTTTTTTGTTTCCTAAAAGTGATTATAACACCTATTTGATATTATTTGCATAACCTCAAATAGAGGTAGTTTATAAGGTAAAGAAATTGCAAACATAGTCCACTTGTTGTGTCTCCATATATAAGACATTCTTCTTTGAATAGATTAGGTTAATAAAACAGAGTAAGAAATATAAATCATGTACATAAAGTACTTAGTAATTTCCTGAACCGACATTGATTTTCTGACAGCTTTCGAATGATTTTATCTTCAATATATAATATAATGCACTTTTTATTATTAAACTGGCAGACTTTTGTTTGGGTTACGCCTCAATTATTTTGTGCCAGTGACTGTTTCTATTACGATGACCTGTGGCGTGACCCAGTGTGATGTAACTTTGGTAATAATTTATTATGACTATGCATTACGTTGTTTGGCTTTGGTGAGGTTGTCACAATTTAAAAAGAAAACAATATGTTGTTATGGCAACACCAAAAGATAGTATCTTAAATTAACTATGTAATTAGTAACATCAGAAAAAAAAATTGAAAAATCTAATATAATTTAATAACAACAGAGAGAAATTTTTAGATTGTGTCAATTTAATAAAGGCTATAATTAATTTGGTGTGAACACCAATGTAAGATTTGTAAAATATTGTAACATCACAAATGTGTTGTTGTACTGTTTAATATTGAATGGCAACTATGATTATAAATAGCCGGACAATACCGGCGCGTTGCGTGACGCGATAAAATTGTGAATCTACGTGGAATAAAATTTCACTGTTAAAGTGACTATTTAAATCTTTGGCAAAGCTCAAATTGTAGAAAAATTATGTTTTTCTTTCGACAAAGTTATTTTTTCCTTCTCAAAGAGTGTTAGGTTACGTTGTACGTAGGTAGGTAGTTGTTATAAAACATGATTTCAGTTCTAGGTTAGACATCTCTAGTCAGAGACTTTTTGAGAAATAAAATTACCATTTACTTATTAATAATATATTATTCATATAGGTACCTACCGTACGCGAGGATTTAATGAGAGTAACTTATTGTTTAATATTAAATTTGTAGAGTAGGTACATTAGAAATGGACTGTATGTCATGATATATATAAGTACGATTTTAAGTTATATATATATTATTATACTTACTGAAACTTTTCTGTCAGTACTTATGTTGGATACGTATTTTGGTGCTATGATGTTTTGGCTTGGCTAATGTAGTATTTAATTGTATATATAATACATTTTATTACCTATTTATTGGCATTTGTACCGGGTTTACTTTTTGTTTTTAGAAAACTAATTGTTTCCGAATTGTATGATGTATCATAATTATTTTTGTTCGCGAACGAAAGCGATGGCTTAGCCATCTTGAACCTAATCGCTTTAATTAATTAGCGTAAGTTGTAATGATTACCTATATTTATATATCTATGTATCGATGGAAAAGTTTCAAAAGGATACACCTCTCACTGTCTCGTTGGTTAATAATGAATGGTGCTAAATAAATACATGATGAAATAAAAAGTGGCTTTCTTTTCTAAAACGTCAAATGCATACTCTGTAGGTTGTTCTTTTTTTAAATATCTATTGAGAATAGCCTGTGGTAGCCATAGACAGTGAGAGAACTGTGTAAATATTGTTTATTTTATAACATGGTGCGATAATGCCAGGCTGTAAACTTTTTAATACATGAATAACACGCAATGGAACACTATTCTTTTTTTTAATTTTGTTATTTTTTATCGGATCGAATGAAACATTAAAAGCGTTATGAAATAATTACATTAATTGAGTTTAATTATACATAAATATAAAAATAATAGTAAATCTCAATATAATAATATCGCAAACTTATCGATTTTATTTATATATTGAGAATTATGAGTATTTACGATACTTAATAAATCAACAGAGCTGATATTTTAATTAAAATTCAATTGTTTATTGAGAAAACTGCTATAAATCAATGAAAGCAAGCAAAATAGTTTTGTCTTGTTTATTCATAGAGTATTTATTATCTATAATATTCTACTAGTACACTTATTACAAACCATAGACAAGAAAGAGATACGTTTCATTGCGTGGTTGGTGATTTGCCAGGGTGTAACATAGGTACGCCTGTGATCTCAATGTATGATTGTTATTTAAATACATCCCTATATGGTGTTGTGATGGTCGCAAATTCTAGATACCATCGTCGCAAATGGTATCCGCCATATCATGATGTTTATGGACACCGTTTACGACGATACCACATAATTATATTTTAAATCTTACTGCCGTGTCTATAAGAGGTTTGGTCATGTGATGATTTTGTGATATATATATATATATAAATATATTTTTAAACAGACACAGTTTGATTTGCACACTGTGTTAAATGTTTAGAACGCATCTATTTATGGTATTTTTTATTACCTTTCTGACGAAAATTAATTTATGTATTTTGTTTTCTATATTTGCTAAGACCCTTATTCATAAATAAAATTACTTAAAATTCATTCAAATACAAAAGGTTTTATTCATGGACATATTTGGCACGTTGCAGACGAGGCTAAAATGATATTTTATCATATTATTTTTCTATCGTCTAGTTCAGGCAACAGTGTTAATTTATTTTAACTATAACAGTGTTTTGTCAGTCTTTTAAATAAAATGAAATAAATGCCTATTTGACAAAATAGTGCAATAGACAATACTTTTGATGTTTTTTAAATAAGGGCATTAGTCATTTTAAT